GGCATGATCTTTTGAAATACTCAAGCCCATATACAACCGTTCTTTCCTGCCATTCAATCATGCTATTCTTTCCCGTCACCAAAGATCGTTGTTCCTTCCCCAAGAGGAAGGAACTAATGGCTTGTTGACTTGAGGGATTATTTTCTTTCCATAAACGAGTTCAAAATGAAAGATAGTGTACTAGGCTGCAAATCTCAGGCCGCATCTTCATTGACAACCAGTTGGGGTGATCTTGCAATTTTCCGTCGATATACTCTTAGAATATGTACCACAGAGAACTCATATCTTCTAAGCTGACTATGGCTACTAGTCATGGTTGTTTTTCTAAGTCCAACTGGTCATGCACTATACCCTATAAGTCGTCAAGTAAGTTGACTGCAGTGCTATCATAAGTTCGTAAAGGATTATCTTTGGCATAAGTTATCCCTTCTGAGTAAAAAGTTATTTACGAACATGTATAACAAAAAATTAAGTGTCTCTCCTCCTCCCCCTGAGATATTCCTACGAGCACACAGGATCGCTGCAATAACTAATCCCGCGTGGCCGACAATATTGACTTTTACAGCATACAGCCCACAACAGCGCGGAGGCAACTGCCGACTGCGATGCACAACCACCAGCCTGACCACGGTGCACGTATCGACACGCGACTGCTGGACATATTTCAGTTTTAAGTGTAAATGTACGGACATCTACGATAAGTGAAATCTGCCTGATAGGTGCTTAGAATTATTATGGTTGGATCAGTATAAATATACCAACGTCAGAAAATTGGGATATACCCTCCCCCACCCTAACCCTAATACTTACAAAAAAATTTCCAAAATTAATCAGGTGCCTCTGAAACGCGATGTTTATTTTTTTCGTTTTTAGGCTTTTGCCGCCGCCCCTAGAAGGATTTTCAAGACTTCATAGCTTTTTAGTCCTTGGCACAGTAGTAACCATGTGTGGAAATTTCATCCAAATTCGAGCAATACATCAAACGGGTCAAGGATTAGGGGATAAACACAGATAGACCGACGGAAATGAGTGACATGGTTGTCACATAACACCCAAAAAACACACCTGATTTTTGAAATTTTTAGCGATGTCAACACTTCCTCGCCAGTGGCGTAGGTAGTATACATTTTTTTTTTCAGCAGGAATTTATAAAAATGTTAAATCCTATTTTTCGGGGGTCTGCAACTTTCTGTTTGTTTTAGGTCTAGTCAAAATGTTGAGATACTGAGTAAATCTACTTAACGTCTTAATAAATATCAATACTGCTGAAAAACATGTCTCTTTCTCTTTCCTCTCTGCTTTACTACATATTTAAAACGTCTCGCCTAAGTGACTGATGCCTTGTGTTCATAGATTTATTGATTTCCACTGTTCCACAAAGACAAACATTTTCCGATTTTCTCGGTGCCAATGCTCTTTTTAAGTCCAACATAAAACCACGTCGATAAATCTCAAAGAATGTAATTAAAAATCCTTAAAAGTTCGATCTCCGTCCCACGCATTACCGCGTCGCTTCTCTGCGGCTTCCTCGCTGCATTTGCATCCAAATATATTCTTGACAAGAGTTTTTTTTAGTCCAGGCGCTAGAAGAGAGCAGGAAAAATCGACTCATATCTTTGAAAGTGTAGCTAAAGGAAAGTATTATGATAGGTTGACTATTTCGTCTGTCTCTACCAATGAATCTGTTTTGAGCTTATTACTAATCATCAGTACGGCATAAGCGGCAACACAAATGCTGCAATCAAAAGAAGCAGTAAGTTTCCGTGACACATAGATAACTAAAATATTGTGGACCGACGAGTCTAAGCTTGACAGAGAGGGGACAACAAATTATCACAACTTACATTATTGGGCCCCACGACAGGCAAATCCGCACATGGCAAAGCCAAGAGCCCATCAAAGAAGATTTTCGGCAAACGTGTGGATGGAAATCATTCATACGTATCTAATTGGACCAATTTTTTTTGCCTGATAACCTGAATGGCGAATTCTATGAAAACTTTTTGAGATCCGAACTCTGGGAGTATCTCGAAGACCTGCCTCTGAATATCAGGATGCAGATGATCTACCAACACGATGGCTGTCCCGCGCATTTCCGCCTGGGTGTTAGACAGTGGCTGGACCAGAAATATCCTTGTCGCTGGATTGGCCGAGGTGGACCGACACCGTGGCCAGCGAGGAGCCCAGATTTAACACCGTGTGACTATTATTTATGGGGGCACATGAAGTCATTGGTGTACGCTGAGCCCATAGACACTCTTGCACAGTTGAAAGAAAGAATTATTGCTGCTGCTGACACTATCAGAGGACCACTAACTGGCCGCATCACGCGTACCAACATGAGAAAAAGACTACGGGCTTGCATAAGAAACGGCGGGCGTCAGTTCGAACAACAATTGCAATGAATTTTACCTTCATTTCATTATTGTATTTTACTTACCAATTGCAGTAACTTTTAGTCAGTTTTTATTATTCCGTAGTACAATTACAACTGTGTAAATAATCTAATCGTGTAACTTAACCGTAGTTTAAAATAATAACTATCCCATATCTTACAGTTACATTATTTTCACAAAAAAACTTTCTTATCAATCAGAGTTGTAAAAATAGGAGACAAGCCATTGGTAAATTTACTCCCTATTGTTGTATTACAATACATTATGTTTAGTTTCACACAGTTTTTGTGAACTTATCATACCAATTTAGATTCCTTATGAAACAAGGATATTATTTAAATTGTTTGTACGTTTTTTTGTATACTGATTTTTTTGTAAAACACCTTACTTACTGTAAAACGTTATTTGTTTTTCTTAGTTAAACATTTTTGAGTGAAAATAAATACGCTGTTCGGTGTTGTTTTCGAATCTTTTTTAATTTATAATAGTTAATTATTGAAATAATAACCCAAAACCACAAACAACAAATATTTAATCGCCAACTTTTTTTTCTCTCGACTTTTTTACTCTGAAATATGGATTGTTTTTAAAAAAACCTTTGAATATAGGGTATGGTATTATATACTAATTTCGATAGCAAAGGGGCTGTACTATCACCTCCTAAAATGTTTTACACCTATTTACCTGTCACCCTGTATATTTATACGCTCTCAACCCCGCTAATTCTGAGCACCTAATAGCCATGTTTCACACGTCATAGACTTCCCGGCCTTTGAAACTTGGAATCAGAGATATGTTTTCGATCCTCGTGCTCCTGCTATCTAAGATCACCGTCCGGCGTACCATTCCGGTTGACTTACCTATCCGTACTGCAGCACACAAAACATATACACGGAACGAACGATAGCTCGCGGCAGCGGTGCCGCCGTGGCCATTGCTGCGCAGATGTCGGAAGGGACAACGTTGCCAAATGCGCAATAACTACCAGTAGGGTAGGGATAGAATGTCTAAGGACTAATTGTATAGAGCGGTTTTGACTGAGTTAATCGATTTAATTTCTCTGTTGTACATGTTCGTAACTAACTAAAACATAGAAGAGGGTTAATCAAAATGTTTTCCTGACTAGATCAAAGGGTTTTGAACTGTAGACTGGGGGGAACTTTCGTGGACATTTTATTATTCGAATTAGATTCGAACGCCTAAAAACAAAAATGGTGCCTGGACTAAAGAGCTTTTTACAACGTGGCTCTCATCGCGTCGCTCCATATTGCATTGTGTAGGTCTACTTGAGAGAAAACTCTTAGGCTATGCCTCCGTTATTGAATATTTCATCAGCCCAAAATGGATATTTGGGAAATAGTTTTCAAACTTACACTCTTCGGCGAATTCTGAACCGTAGGGACGTACTTAGCTTTTATTTATCGCTGTATTATTCGCTGTTTTACAATAATTTGAACCACATCAATGGAATAATGTTTCTGATGTTTAAAATATGAGCCATATCTACAATCTTTCATACCTCACGCTATAGGTGGTGATGTGTTGTGATTGAGAAGCATTACTATATGATTACTGATGTATACGAGTAATTCTGTAGCACTCAAGTATTTATTTTCGAGTATTAGTATATTTACATGTGACCCCCGTTTTGAAAAAAGGATCAGGGTCGATGAGAGTGTTTTTCAGTCAAGAACTTAATTTTAAGTTAATCGCATATATGAAGTTTTTGCATTTAAATATTTTAGAACCTTGCCTCGCAAATTTGTTTTTGAAAGTTCAGTAACAATGTATTTCCATAAAGAGTGGCAAAATTTTACTTACAATTCCAGTGGCGAGGACTTTTATAAAAAGCGAAAAATTCCGAAATTGGGATATTGTATTTTTTGGATGTAATATCACATCACGAAACACCATGGCACTCATTTAAGTCAGTCTGCCTGTCTGTCTGTTCGTCCGCTAATTTTCGATCCGTTTGTAGCTTGGAAAGTACCGCTCAAATTTTTACTTATAATTTTTGTATGTGTTGAAATGCCGGGGTTGGAGGTTGTAGGCGGTGAGGGAGAGTATAACTCAATTTTTTTTGCAGAAATATTTGAGGGGAGGGGACATCGCTTAGAGATAACTTTTTGTGTACCACTATAACCTGTTGAAGGGCAAAACCTTTTGAAGAGCGGGGATAGAAAATTGCCTCATGGCTTCAAATCCCCAAGATTATATCAGAGGGGAAATTTCTAGGTCGTAACATTGTCAAATGAGTGGGGACTATGAACTAATCGTATAGGTCTGTTTGGCAGACTTGATACATTTAATTTTTTTGCAATACACGTCCGTACCTAGCTCTTAACTTATGGCGAACATGATTTTTTATGACCTGATGACAGCCTTGCTTAAATTGTGCAGGGTCAATCTACTTGACGCCGTTTTTTACCAATGACTTTTAATGCTTAATTTTGCTGATCAACGGTAAGCTATCAAATGAGTAAGGTTATCTCCAGACGGGCCTTCTCGGACAGTCCGTCCCTGCACTTTCCGAGGGAAGAGAGAGGATCTGGTATCCGGCGCGCAAGCCCATACGGCCGGTCAATACTCGGCACTGATCGTTCCGCCGTCTGCCGTGCGCCAGAATATGTTGTGCTCATGCTCTTCGGCCACATTCAGACCGACAGACCGACCCGAAAAGGCGTTATGGTCGCTCTCTGCCCATTTCGAACACAATTCAACTCGATCACACGACGCGAAAACTGATCGAATGTAGTTCTGTGCCGCCACCGCACCGACCCGATCTCAGTCCTATCGAGCTTGAGATGTAGGGATTCCAGTCGCCCGTTCTTAATATGGAATTCCACTAGACCCTACGGGTGTACAATGAATGAACTTAGTGTCTGTTCGAATGTTTGGTTTATTTTCTTTGGTTTTACAGGTAAGCAAACAGTTTGCTTGTTTGCATGCTCTTATTTCGACACTAACCTACAAAGTAGGTATATTTTTAGTTTATTTTGTTCGATGGCCTAGATTAGTTATTAATTTTACTTGCATTCCACTGCATATGCATTTCTTCCGCAGTTTCTACTGTTTTCCGCATTCCTATGCTTGAATTAAATATATTTTTTATTTGCTACAGGTAAACATTTCATACATTATTATCAAATGAGAGAGTAAACCAAACACAAACAGAATCTTCAAGTTTATTTTATAAGAAATGAATAAATCTGTGAAATAGAAAGATCGTGAGATGGTGTAAGGGGTGTAGACTAAAGAAACGAATAAGCAAACGTCACATTTGACAGTGCTGACATAAGCGGCCTGGATTTAACCCCGTGATTGATTATTTAATGAGCCTTGTTCCAAAACATTATACTGGGAAAGGTCGGTGTATGGATTTAGGGGCAACGTCTGGCACTCGAGCACGCACCGACTACCAGAAGAGCATCGTCATTCAACCCTTCTGGTTGATTTACAAGAAAATACTATAGATAGCTCTTGTAATGCATAATACAGAATGATGCACCTGAATTATTGAATGTGGTTCTGTGGTATCACCGCACCGACCCGATCTCAGTTATATCGAGCTTGAGATGTAGGGATTCCTGTCGCCCTTTCTTAATATAGTATTCCACTAGACCCTACGGGTGTGCAATGAGTAAACTTAGTGTCTGCTCGAATGTTTGGTATATTTTATTTGGTTTTACAGGTAAGCAAACAGTTTGCTTGTTTGCATGCTTTTATTTCGACACTAACCTACAAAGTAGGTATATTCTTAGTTTATTTTTTTCGATGGCCCAGATTAGTTATTAATTTTACCTGCAGTCCATTGCATATGCAATTCTGTCGCAGTTTCTACAGTTTTCCGCATTTATTAATTAAATATTTTCTAATTGCTATAGGTAGACATTTCATTCATGATATAAAATAAGAGAATAAACTAAACACAAACAAAATCTCCAAGTTTATTCTATAAGAAATGAAGAAATATGTGAAATAGTAATATTGTGAGATGGTGTAAGGGGTGTATACTAAATAAACGAATAAGCACACGTCACATTTGACAGTGCTGACATCAGCGGCCTGGATTTAACCCCGTGATTGATTATTTAATGTGCCTTGTTCCCAAACATTATACTGGGAAAGGTCGGTGTATGGATTTAGGGGCAACGTCTGGCACCTGCTACCTGAAGAGCTATCGTGATTCAACCCTTCTGATTGGTTGATTTACTAGAAAATACGGTATATAGCACTTGTAATGTATAATATGGAATGATGCACCTGAATTATTGAATGTGGTTCTGTGGTACCACCGCACTGACCCGACCTGAGTCCTATGGAGTTTGAGATAAGGAATTTCAGTGGCTCGCCCTTAATATGGCATTCTACTAGACTCTACGGGTGTTAATGTTTAGTATATTTTCTTTGGTTTCTACAAGTAAGCAAATAGTTTGCTTGTTTGTATGCTGTTATCCGACATTAACCTATAAAACGGTTATATTTTCAATTTATTTTGTTCGATGGCCTAGATTAGTTATTTTGCTTACATTCCACTGCATATGCATCTTTTCCGCAGTTTACCGCGTTCATACGCTACACTTAAATAAAACCTGTTAAGTGAAACAAGTAAACATTTCATTCATTATATCAACTAAGAGAATAAGCCAAACGCATACAAAATCCTCAAATTTATTCTATAAGAAACGAAAATATCTGTCAAATAGGACTATCGTTCGATGGTGTAAGGGGTGTAGATTGAAGAAACGAACATTGAAACGTCACATTTGACAGTTCTGACAAAAGCAGACTGGATTTAAGCACGTGATTGATTATTTAATGAATCCTGTTTCAAAACATTCTACTGTGAAAGGTCGGTGTATGGATTTGGGAGCAGTGTTGTTCCTGTTATTTAAAATGCTTGCGATTTTCAACCCTCGAGAACATAAATGCAAAAATTACGGCAGACAGCCCGTACGGTGCAGATCACGGGATGTAGCGCCTGTCTAATCGAATAGTCTTGTTCCGCTGCCATATCGATCTGATCTCAGTCCCATCGAGCTTGAGATACAGATATTCCAGTCGCCTGTTCTCATTATAGAATTTCGTTAGACCCTACGGGTATACAATGACCGAAGTCAGTGTTTTCTTGAATGATTGGTTTATTTCCTTTGTTTTTACAGGTGTGTAAACAGATTGTTTGTTAGAAAGCTGTTATTTCGACTTTAATCTACAAAATGGATATAATTATGTTTAGATCATTTGCTCTGATGGTCTAGATTAGTTATTAATTTTAATATAATAATAACATGGTCTAAAGCCTAGTCCTAATTCGGTGGATTTGCATCGGTTCATTACAGAGTCCATGGTCACCTTCCTGCCCCATTATCAGATTAGCTCCATGTCATAATAATATTGCATTGTCATATCATTCTTTCGACATATTGAATTTAGAATGACGTCACTTGCTGTATTTCGCTCATCAAGCTCAAGCATATCATAAGGGTTACTATGCAAATGAAAAACCACAATTTTGCGGCTGCTCTCAAATTGGATTTATTGTGACGCTACTTTTTTATTGTGGCTTGCTCGTCAAGTACTTTCTTTTGATAGCCATATCATAGGGTAATAGGGTAGGTATAGTTGTAGTCACCGTTCTTGGGGGTTACGTCATCAACGCCATATGAAATAAGTAAACAAGATCGAGCGCGAATCTTAATTTTCCCAAATGACGGAAACCAATTCAAAATTATTTACTAATCGTAATTCTCAAAAATCTTCTAATCTAGTACATAAACATGGGTAGAGTATGACACGCCATTTGAAAGTTTTTTAAAGTTGAAATAAAAAATACATACGGAATTTACTATATAATACAAAATAATAAATATATTTGTTAACTTGATGGAACATTTAACATTGGATGTGGACATGTGACAAGCTTATGAGAGCTTTAGAAGAACCATCTTCAATAATAAAAATGCTCAATCCTTCCTGGAGTGAAACCTAAATAAATTACTGCTAGACAAAAAATACATTTTGATGATGATGCTCTTAAACTTTTAAAGCTTTTAAATCTATGTCGCTTTAATAAAAATCAAGCTTGAAACTTCCATATCTATCAAAATAATTAACAATTTATATTAAGGTGCACACATAGAAAATTAAGAATAAATAAATAAAAGTATGATTTATTGGATTTCTTCATCAGAGTCATCTGAAAACTTTCTCTTAAGTGAATGATTCGTTTTTAATCAAGAACTCGGAATGTGTCACACACTTGGCCCAAACTGTAGGGGTCACCTTCGCTAGAGCATCGTACCAAACTTTCAAAATTCCATTGTCCCCATAGCCATTTCTTCAATATGACGATCATAGTTTAGTACTGTTTGGCTATTCCCCAGACTAGACACTAGTGTACACAAGTCCCATTAACACTGTAGAGGAATTAAGAGAAAGAATAGTTGCATCTTGCGATAGAATAAAAAACACTCCAAGGATATTTCAACGAGTGCGCAATTCCATGAGAGGGCGGAAGCATGCATACTAAGTGAAGGGGGCCATTTTCAACAATTTTTGCAATCATTTCGTTGGTTTTAATCTTATGTTTATGTTGTCAGTTGTTGTTGTTCATTACCCCCAATGTGTTTAATTTTTTTTACTCAAAAATGGCGCATCAAAGGAATACAATTCAAGAGAGATGATTTGTTTTAAAGTGAACGGGAAATTCAAAAATAATTTTTATTTGGCAAAAAACCATTGGCGTACTATTTTTTTCTTAAAAAATATCGAAGTCAATACCCGTACGCACGCCACTGTTAAAGCTAAAAATTATTTTTGCATTGAAAAATATGCAACTTTATTAACTTTCACTACCTACTAAGTATCAGTGAAATATCTGAAGCGGTTCTGAAAATATGAATCAATTTCCATTTTTTTTTCCTAAATCTTCAACACCTCGAGTTGTTGTAAGGAAACATTTTTGGACCATAGTTTATAAAGCAAACTAACATTAATTTTTTATGTACATTCACACCCTTAAATATTCGCATATCATTAAGGAACACCCTGTATATAAAGGGATACTGGAAGTCTAACCTTGATCCGCCAAGAACGGTGACTACATCGATACTATGGAAATTATGTCGCCATTTTGCGCGTATATTGGTCTTAGAATGACGTCACTTTGCATGTTGTATTTCTCTAGCTAAGCCCTTTCATTTGACACCTATATCATTGGAAGACTAAATAAATGATAAATCGTCATCTTGTAAGATCCTTCATATTAGATTCACAATGGCAGCAGAAGCAACGTGTACATACGATTTCAGTTCAAATGGTTGACTGGTAGAAAATTTAAATTTTTCCCACACATACTAACACATCTACCAACAGACCGCCGGTTAAAAACCACAGCAAAAAAACGTAATATGATGAAAAATACAGGAAGTATTTTTGAAGCGTTCATTAATGTGTAAGAACCTACCTTGCGGATCATTTTCCAGTTTTTTACCTTCTAGGCCGCACGAGTATTTAATAATTAATAACAATTTAACATAAACGACCCAGGCAGGCAGACACCTCATTCCGCCCTACGGCAACATAAGGGCTATTTGCTGTAATTATTTTATCCATAAAAATGCTTGAGGAATAAATATGTCAGCTCTTGGGGTATATGGATTTAGGACCCCTGCCCTGCCTGGTCTGTGGTGTTCCATCACGTTCCTATACAAGAAAATGTGTGGCTATTATGTCGAGATTACAGGCTGGCATCCCTAAAGTCCGTGTAATGGTGTTTATATTTGAAAATGTACAGGTATTACGCTCGTAATCCGTTGAATGGGCTTAGTCACACTAAAACGTATACGAGAATCGATGGGTTCAACCCGTTTCGGAAACTTTGTTTGTATTTATGTTGTTTGTATCACTATTTTCACAGAA